TATATATATATCCACCCTTTCTTTTAACCTTGCCCCTGGCTAATACTTGTATAATTCTGTAAAACTTCAAAATGCAAATATCTACTTAAGTAAAATGAACAAAAATATTTTTGTTTAATTTTCTCGGAGTGCCCCCACTGTTACCAACAAGTTACTAATTCTGACCTACCATTAGAAGCAAATGAGTACTCTTCAGCTTGTGGGATGCAGAAAGATAAGGGAGACTCAGGAATAATTGTGAGGTTTGCTTTTCGAGAGACCAGTTTTTACAGTAGTATACATGTTTGCATTTAGTTCACTCTATTTTTTTCACTCCAAAGAGTTATTATATGGGCATAGAGTGTCATAGTTGCACAGCCCTCTTCTTGCACCAGTATTCCATGTCTCATGTTGTGATGAATATGAGCATCTCCAACCACTTATTTTCATCAAGGGAAAAAAAGGGATTATCTCTGACCACTGTGGTTTCAACATTTAGGACCTATTGTTTTAACTCAAAGTTTTCCTATTTCACTGATTGCTTATTTTATGCCTTACTGGTCCATACTTTTTGTTTAACACCCATATCTATATAGTCAATTGTGTCTGCTTGTTAATCGTCTGCAGTTAAATATACATTTCTTCAGTTATTTGCCTGGACAAATAACTGATTAAATTGTTCTCATTGCAGGTTGCCAGCGTGACATTTGACTTGCTTTTGCTGTTGGTACTAGGATCATACTTGATTACACTTTTCAGTTTTCTTTTTATCACCACCAGGGTACGTCTTCTGGTTTTACTTGATCCTGATTCCCTTATCTTGGTTACAAATTTTGTGCTGTTCCGACCACAACCATTTTATAACAGAGACGAAAACTTCCTTGATTATTGTACCACCTAAAATTTGTAAATATAAAGAAAAGAAAACTGAATATAAACTCATCTAACCAATATGATGTTATTGCTAAACAGGGTCTTGACGATCTTATTAGTCTATTCCGTCGTCCCCCATCACGGAAAGTAAAAGCTGCTTAATTCCTAAAGCAGGACTTCTCTGCATCAGATGCTTGCAAATCAAGAAGCAGGTGTTTCTTTTTTGTAACCTTAAGGAAGATTGTCTTGACCTAGTTGCTTCCTATTGATTGGTGGTCCAACGATCATATTATAAACTTTTAGAATTCGATGGAAAAGTTCCACTTTTGCTTTGACAAATCAATAGGGTAACGCAGTCATTTTTTTCGGCTGAGATGAGGATGTAATTCTCACAGGCGGCTTTTCTCATAGAATTAGCAGTTCTAAAATTTAATCTTGCTGATGTATCAATTTTGACAGAATGTATTTATGTTCTGAAAAGGTTCAGGAGAATTTGCTCTGTTGGAGGATCATTTGTTCGCTGACAAACTAGATTTTTGTATTAATTGTCTTTCTTTGAAATAGCTCCTTCCATGTTGAAAGTATGCATATTGTATTGAAAGGCCACATCTCGAATTCAAACTGCAAAACGAGGATATTGGTGAACTAGTTTGTCTTTGATATTTGCTCCTACCTTCTTTATCAACCATTTTCCATCCCATGTTACTCGGTTTGAGATTTACCTTCACAAGATCTGGGTACACACTGCTGCTCAGACCCCACGTGTGGGATTACATTCATTTTTTTGGTTGTTAATTTGCGATTTACTTGTAATTGATTCAGTCAAACTCTCCACTTATGCCCTTTTACTAATAGACGCCCCCGCGTTGATAGAAATCGGCAAAAGATTTTGGGGATTGTGCGCTCTACCTTACGACAAGGCGTACCTATGTTTGCACCAGCTCAATGAATACATGAGACATGTATTTACATACACAATTATTGTTAAATTATACTCAATTGAGGTACATTTGCACCTTATTTTATCGCCTAGATATGATAAATTAGTATGTTTGATGTAAACATCAGAGTGGGAGTTAATATTTACAGGAGAAGACCTTACCCTTGTGGTATCGTAGTGTTTCCTTAGCAATTTGTTTATGGATACAAAGTGGCGGAAGAGCTTTTTCCCCCTCATTTTTGCTTGCTTTTAATTAGTTACCAACAAGGATTTCACTGGTTTTATGTCGATCTTTTTTGACAACGCAGAATATCAGCAGGATAATTTTTCATCACTAAACAAGTTCATATCATTTAGTTTAGTAGCTTATCTTGTTGGTTATTCTCGTAAATAACTGGTAGAGGGTGTAGTTAAAATTTTCCTTCAGCTTAATAGAGAATTTTAGTAAGAGACGTTCTCCCTTTTTTCCTTTTTCGCATTTCTCCTTTCTTTCCTTCTCATTTACATAGACACAATCACCAACATCCCAACTCAAGTCTACTACCTTTTTTTTTATTTGAGTTATTCTACTCTTGGTTTCTTGTCTTATTCCTAAGAATTGAAAGTATGTACTCTGTCCAAGGATTTTGGTAAAAACTATATCCTTTGATATGTTGGAACGTTAAACATATAATTAATACTCTTTATGTAATTTTAAATATATAAATTCTAATTCTTTTGGATAAAGACCAGAAATTCATCCATGGTTAAAAATTAGATCTGTTCGAGCTCGTGCTTCCGTCCCATTTTTTTTCAGAGAATAATACATGGTGCAGGAAAATTGTAAGATATAGTCCGTTGTTCTCCATTGTACTGGATTTTCTCCTTTCTGACTCTATAAATGCAAGTCCAATATATTCTTTTTGGAGAATTTTAAAAATAACCAGCGTTTGCAAAGTCATTAAGAAATAATCACTATTTTGCTGCATGACGAAAAATTCCATCATAATATACTGGAGATCGGTGCACCTGTGTATTAACTTCCAGCATATTATGTTGGAACAGTTTCAACATAATATACTGGAGATTGAAGCACATGTGTATGAACTTCCAGTATATTGTGTTGGAATATTTTCCGAAAATTCAATATATTATACTGAAACTCCAATATCTAAAACTCCAGTATATTATGCTAGAATATTTTTCGAATTTTGAACAGTGTTTTCGTTCAAATTTATCTTTTCATGAAAAGTGGCTATTTTGAATTTCACCCCAATTGTTGTGAAGACCAAAGCTGAAAATACAAATACAAACTCATCATGATTGCTTATTATTTAATGAACACAAAGCTCAAGAATAGAACTGACTAGTAAAAAAGACATTGCATATAAGGTAAATTACAAATCTGAACAAGTAAACTGACTAATAGTCTAATACTACTATACAAAATGGGTCTCAAAATTTATTATAAACAGATGGAACCCAATAGACAGACACTTGAAGCCATCTTTCTGCCAGTAACACTGTTTTAATGAGATTTCATTAAGTGAATCAGTTCCTCTGTTTATCATATATGAGCATTCGAAATAGCGCGGTATACCATGTCAACGAATTGATCATCCTGTTATGGAAATGAAGGCAAAATCAGATGCATAAAGAGACCAGTGAATGATATAATATCAAATCATGGATCCTAATAGGGAAAAAATGAGCACAAGATAGCCAAAAGGGAAAAATATTATTACAGGAGTAACCATAAAATCCTCTAGCTAATCAACTTTTTATTACATCAATAAACTAGAAATCAATAAATTATGAGCTCGGGATACTACCTTATTCCCTCAACTATTTAATTTTGTGGACTCCATAACTAATTTTCAGTACTAAAAAGAAAATGCTTCGGAAAGGAAAGCAAAATATGAAGTCTCTATTACCATGGCAAGTTCCTAAACACCTAGTCCCTGAATCTCAAATCTACTAGTGTTTTTAACATATTGTCTGGACTTGTAATTTCCAGTCATACTATTTGCCATACTTATATTTTTTGGCCAAGCTTTTTTAACTGGCTTTTTCAAAAACAAGGTGATAACAAATCAACTACTTGGCATGTCTTATAAGTCGCGTACCTTTGGTTTTTTTGTTTCTTGTTTGGGTGCAAAGTTGAAAAATCTATCAATGAATTACAATTACCGAATATGTAGAGTGGTTAGAAAGCTATAGTCTACTATTATATTGCTTTATACCTCATTTTCTCCGACTCTGTAGACAGGACATTTTATTTCTTTCTATTTAAAGATCTTTTCTCATCTTTCAAGTTGAAAAGCTCTTTCCTCCTTCTCTCTAATAAATAAACACATTCTTTTAATGAATACTGGAATAGGAAGGGTCTGAACCTTCAGTCTAAACAGCAGTCAGCAGCTAAAGTGGCAATCCAGGGGTGGAAATTTTAGCATTGTAAACCCACCCAAACTAGGGCCCGTCATAAACACTGGATCAGTATGTTTGGTAATTGGTATCATGTTGACTCGTTAAAAAGATAGCTCAAAAGGTAACACTTCCAAGACTAAGCATAAGAAATGAGGAAGCATAGTTCCATCAACAAAGCCAGTGCTGGTTCCTATGCAAGAGTGGTTTTGTGGATAAGGTAACTAACTCTCCAGGACGTCCCAAAATTAGGCCACATTGATGTGAAAAATAGGATTTTCCATTCCAAAATGACTCTTCAGTAAATCAGTTATCAGATAACAGACATGACTCTCGAAGAATATTTTTTCAATAAGATAATATTGAAGACATCACAGTCCACGTAGATCAAGCAGCAACTATCTGCCCGAAAGTGCTCAAAACCTCATAGGTATGAGGCACTAATGGGGTAGATAAAGAAGCTGACGTCAGAGAAGAATTTTAGCTGATGATGGGGGAGGAATTTGCTGACAACTCTGACCCTTTCTGCCCCAAAATTCAAGGTTAAAAAGTGAATTGGCGGCCCCCGACTCACAATATAGCCTTGGAGTCATCGATGATAAATAAGATATTGGCAATGGAAAATACCAATAGATTTTTTTGATGGATAAGGATAGGGGGTCTATTGGGCAGAAGTAAAACATTCACTCGACAATTGCTCCTCGCAAATGGAATATAACCAATTGATCAAGTTCAAGAATAGGGATCTTCGGATCCGTAAGAAAAAGCATGAACGCTCTTCTCTTTTTCAATAAATACTTACTTCACATCCTGCCTTGGCCGAAAATGCCGCCAAGAAGCCTTTTGTTACTGTTTGGATGAGAAACGAAGGCAAATGACAGATTTTTGTCAACTTTAACTGATAGAACTCAAGGTGGCATTGATGATGCTGCGGCTGCAACCCCAATGTGGCAGGTATTTTGAGGACACAGACAACTGGACAGTGGTACTCTTACTATGTGGCTCATGCAGTCACAACACGAGGAAGAGAAATTTGAGTGTGGAACTCTCATCAGGGGAAGGAGAGGTCTGCAAAGGTCAAGACAGAAAAGGGAGCGAGAGAGAGTTGGGCATGGACGGAGAGCGTCGGCTGCTGAAATGGATGGGGAAGAGATTTAGGGGTTCGGGATCTTTTAGAAATCTCATCCAGAGATTTGAGGGAAGAACTATTCAATTATTGTTGGAGTTTGAGACATGCCCCTTCAGATAGGGTAAAACTTTTACTTTTTTGTTATTTAGCAATCCCCACCTTATAGCTTCACGATCGGCCCTTAAGGAAGTAAGGTGCTTAATTTCAAAAGTATAAACGTTCTTATGTTACCCGACGGAAAGGTATCCAGACTGTGACTCAGATAATTAAAATTAGGTCCTAGAGGAATGAGAGAAGCTACCAAAAACCAGTTCCAACAGAGAGTCTCAATTACTTTTTCCTTCTCAATTACTCTTACTAATGTTCATAATGTGATTTTCTCCAGCATAGTGGCATAAGCTGCTGGAAGCTTTTTTTTTTTTTAAATACGCGCCCTCAGCAGACCCTCTTTGCTTTGAATATTAATTCTCATTATGAGGGCAGATGCAATTGATTGCAAACTAAACTTTATTGCCATAAAATAAGTTCACATAGCAAACTAACGAATTCAGGGACACTTACTTGAACAAGCATCAAAAGTGCCTCACGCACTTTGTCTCTGTTAATCAAGGGTCCGTTGTTTGGCCTAGGAGCAGAAGCTGGAGTGAGAGATGGCGGGGGAGTGGGGGGAGGAAATGGTTGAAGCAAAGGAGCTCTGTGAAGGCGTTGTAAATCCCCAGGGGGATGAAGTGGAGGAGCAGTAGGCACAGATGAAGAAACAGGAGGTATCAGTGGAGAAGAGGAAGGAGGAGGACCAAAGAATGACGATGGCTTCACTAGATTTGAAGACTTTCTATCACTGGCGTCTCCTTCAGAGGCATCAAGGGTAGGAATCAACTGGAAAGATGTAGCAAGGGGAAGAGATGGAGCTAGTGCAGGTGCTGAAGAGGGAGGTACAGCAGCAGGAGGACGAGGAGGAGGTAGGACTGTTGCAGATAAGTCATACGGCTGTCCCTGAACTGCAGCATTTGTAGCACTCCCAATTCTCATAGCAGTCTACAAAATGAAATGCTCAGAATTCAGTCACTTTAACACGTAGTTAAAGAACATTATACAAAAAAAAAAATCATCTCTAACATAGTTCTAGTCGAGAAGTATCTCCACTTAAATTACTAACTACATGACCCCAATTTA